TACCGGGGAGCTGCTACAAGATTTCAGCGATGACAGAGAGATAAAGCATAGCAATTCGAATACGATCACAAATATATTATCAAAAGTCGCATTTGATGTGACTGTTAAGACGTTAGAGGAAAAACTTAGCTACGACCATGTACGAGTATAACTAAAAATTAAACGGATCAAGCCCATACAATTAGTCCATAGACCTCACCCATTTGACAACGTTGCAATCTAGATATTTCTCCCCTGCTTTACCGGCAGTATCGGACATCTGGATTGACATTCTTGTATTGTAGTTTGAAAATGATACGTTTTCAAAACACTTAGCGAATCATGACGTACGGCAAGGGCATTACACGTTTGGTTTAGGTATTTACGTTGCTGATCAAATTCTTCCGTTCAGTCCGCCTGGAAACGGTGCTTTTTCAATATTACCAACATACTCTCTTCTCTGTTGAGCTAGATGGTCGGTTAGGAGTTACAGTATGGGTTCTGTCTACGTCAAGATGGTAGTTTCTACTAGCAAAGAAACGAAACGCAGATAGTATGGATAAAAATAACGCCACACTCATATAAGCATCTGTATACTATATCACCTGAAGGACGGTTTGACATTAAAATAGGAAGTTAGAGAATCAATTATTTTATAATGAAAGAATCAGTTTTTCATTACTACATGTATTTTCTGCCAAGTATTTCATTATTATAACTTTTGCTGTATTACTTCTCACGTGCGATCTATAAGGCTCTGACAAAAGTGGTTGCAGCATTTTTCTTAGGCGGTTAGTTTTACCATTATTTATAAAAGTCGGAGATTTCAAAGGTTATCGGTCTCAAAATTTCCCTTTCCAAGTATCCAATATTTCTGATTAAGTTAAAGCCAGTTAAGTGGTATAGCACTAGGTACTGGGAATTTGTTCAAAAACGTATTAACAACACCCAAGAAAATCCCAGATAGCGATAACCAAAACGCCAACCACTGAGAAGTCGTCTTAAAGTCGACAAGCGATTTTCAATGACGGAAATATCATATTTTTACAAGCACATCGCGAACAAGTGCAAATTACGTCATGTTTCTTGAGCGAGCTTATAAGCATTACATTTTGAAGAACGACAATACCGGTCCTGGCAACGTTGCTGACCACACGTTTTCAGCAACTTATATTACCTCCAAAAAATTGAGATATACTGTATATTCCCCTAATCTCTAATTTTTAACACTAACAAAGATTTTTCTGAACATGATTATCAGCCTCAGAAACGCCAAAGTCCGAAGACTGAGCGATTTTTATTCTTGCCCTAAGCCCCGCCGTCACTGAACCGACGGAAATGACTGACATGTTTTTTCGTGATGTACATGTCATCTAAAACCCAAAAATTAAAATAAATATGTTATTTTCGACTTTCTGCGATTACGTTTCGTCGCCAGTGGCGTGGAAAGTAAAAGTCTCTTTTGGTTAGTTTTGTCATGCGATGCTGTGTCGTTACTCTTTGCTCCCACAAATGAAGCTCTGTTTACGAATAAAGACGTCTGCATGACTTTTCGACCAATATCAATCAGCCAGCTCAGCTCTTCATTGTTCGCGTGTTTGTTATATTAGTAGGTGATACAGCCCGCGGCAGCAGCGCAATATTTCAAAGTGAAAAAATTAATAGAGGACGTTTCATATCCGCTCCGATGACTAAGGAAGGTAATTTATCGTTGGCGGATAGGCCTTTGTTGTCCGCGTTTTGCCCCTGCCTAAGGTATCCGCCCAATATGCCGAACCTGTTCAATAAAGATCCTTAACGTTGAACATCGACACAGAGCACTGGTATTAGTTTATAGATCAGGAAAATTAGCAGCTCTCGAGATGAAGCAGTTAATAATTTTTTAGCAGTTGAAATGAAGGCTTAAGAAAAATGAAGCAAGAGTATGAAAATATATATTATCGATTTATCTTAAAAGACACTATAACTCTACACTTTCAAAGTTGCGTTCCGCAGAAATCTTTTCGTTCCATCTGAATGCGACGTGTGGCGTTACTGATCCATGCGCAGTACATCAGCTGGACGTCCTAATACGCATACACGTACAACCCGTAGTACTGGCGACCAATCGTCCGTCGTACAATTTAATCAAGGAAACTGTTTTATCGACATCGATGCTTGTCCGCACGGGTATTATAGAGATTTTTTGGCGCGAACAGATGGCATTTCCCCTTCCTCTCGAAGTATTGACAGTTTCAAGTTACACCGGGAGTGGTTAGATGGCGCATGTTGTGCAAAATGTTTGCTTTAAGCTCCTTGATAAACTTAGTTGCCACAAATTTTCAAATGGGATGTCTGTTTTTCAAATGACATTGACATAAAACCTGTCACCCGACGTTAGGCGGTTACCCGTACCACGTGATCTTTTGACATTGGATGACTTCACATCCGTCTTCCCCTATTCCCGTACTTTGAAAAAATTTGAATTTCGGTTCTCGGTAGTGCACTGTGGACTCGCGAAAAAATTCTTTATGTGAAAAAAAACTATAAAACGTCAAAAAAAACCTATAAGATGTCATCTTGTAGACTAGGTAGTTTTTAGGGTGCAAACAGTCATTCCACGTTTGCTCACTAGGATCGTTTTGAGCGTACATCTATGGAAGAATGCCTCAACTACACGTACACGCATTTTTGGTTGCATATATTTGGTCTGGATGATTGTGTGTATTTGCTGTGTGAGAAAATCATTATTGAATATGCTGCCAATGAAGTATGTGTATCTATTAGGTGTGCCCTACGGGGTATTTATATGTTGTCTTTTCGGAAGACAGGTTATGTTCAAAGTTACCAATTAAAATTTTTTCACGTTTTTCTGTGTTTTTACTGTTTTACTGTTAGCATGTATGTCACTTGTAATTCAACAGAGTACAGTGAATATAATTATTTATCTCTCTCATTTTAGAAATGCAGAAAGGTAACCGTACCTGTATTAGCGTCACGCTACAAGAATGCCTGGACTATAAGAAGATCCTTAGCGTCGATCTAAATGTCATAGGTGTTGACTAACGCTGCCGGCATCTAAAACTCGAAGAATACCGTGCGATTTCTTGGAACGAAACAGTTACTAAAAATAGAAGGGTGATGGAGCTTGTCAAGGTGAGGAGCGTCTAGACTTTAGACATTTGTTGTAAAAGCTTATGCACTTGGATGCAAAGAATATTTCTGAGTATTGTGCCTGAAAAAAATGTTCATACGAATCGAGGGCATGAATTGCTTTTAAATGATACGCTAAAATTCTCGCAAGACGCGAATTACAGATAAAACACAGTTTTTCGTCTTTCGATTGTTACTATTTCCCACTCCAATTAACTAGGTCGGTTTTTGATGAAATTTTTACACAAGGTCTCAGAAGTACTGTTGATAACACATCGCAACTAAGATCGCAGCGATGTCAAATGAGTAGGGACTGACGACAAATTGTATGGGACGTACCATGTGTAGAGGTTGAAGTGCAGAGTCAAACTACTTGAAGCCATTTTTTATCGGATATAAAGTCCACATGATATGGTTATAAATGCAATGATTATTCATTTAATAATAGTAAGGACTAATAATATAGGTCGCATACAGAAAACAGTTGCAAATCTAACAGTGTAACTTCAGAAATTCTAGAAAACAAACTCCAATTGTTGGACAAGAATATTTGATATTTGAGGAAAATACCTGCACCTGTGTAGAAAATGTACTAATGTCAATTTGTTCATTGTTTTTTTTTCTATAAATATTTTATAAGTAATGAAGAGCATTAATTACTATCGCATAATGTAAATTATACAGATAAAATAACTTGATTTATTGTTCGGTTGAATCACATTGATGCCAACTAATCGCGAACGAATATAAATGAGCAATTGATTTATTTATCGCCACAAATGCCTGATTAACGAATAACAAGTTTTTTCTTTACAATGAGCGACTTTTATTGCTTTGTGTATCTACTGTTGTTCGTGGAACAATTGTTAAACAATATATTTGTTGCAGGTAGTAATTGTTTAAAGATACATCGAAACATGTCTACTTCTTTTAGATTTGCTTCCAAAACTTCATCGTACTTCTATGATAAATAATATCTTTTCTCCTGAACGCCGGAGCTATTTCAAAACACCTTCAGCAGTGTTTTCTTAGTCGTCAGTAGTTGCCCCAATGAGAACAACTTTCTCGCTTACGGTTTCTGAGATCCTATATATATATAACAAAAATAGGAAAATAATGGACAAAATCCGCAAAAAGTGGATTCGAGCAGAAAATAGGATAGGTAACCCGAGCGATACGTATTTCTGCTGGTTGGCTTCATCAGGCCCGAAATGAATGCACATATGCAACTACAAAAGTAGAAACATATGCCCATACATCCGGATACGGGTGTAACCTGAGGAAACAAAGATGGAGAGGAAAAAAAAAGACACACGAAGTCCACAACAAGAGCCAACCTACACATTGTAGTATCAAATGGCTAGAAGACCTCGAATTTTCAAGGCGACAAATAACCACAACCACGCGGCCGGTTATAGCCACTTGCTGTGGTACTTCATTTCGGGCCTGATGAAGCCAACCAGCAGAAATACGTATCGCTCGGGTTACCTATCCTATTTTCTGCTCGAATCCACTTTTTGCGGATTTTGTCCATTATTTTCCTATTTTTGTTATATACCTTTCTCCGCATGATAATTTTCTCTTTATATATATATATATTTTATGAATATATTAAAAATCTTTTTATTAAATATTAAGAAATTTGTCGCTACAAATATTTAACAAACATTTTTTAAAAATATTTAATAAACATTTAATGCTATCGGGGGTACGTTCCACCTTATAGACGGAACAAGAATTTAGCGGACAGGCAGAGATACAGACCGACTAAAGAGACTGAAATGGTTATGGTAATGTACATAGCATCCAAAAAACAATACTTTATAAAATTTTCGAAATTTTTCGCTATTACAATACCTCCTCGCCAGTAGACGTGGTAAGTGAAAACTTCAATAAGTCCAAGATGTAGTAATTTCTAGTAGAAAAACACTCACCTTTGAATCAATGTTCTTCGAAGCTGCCATATACGTCATGATGGCCGTAGATATGTCATTCTCCAAATGCTTTATGACAAAGTCCACGTTCACTCCAGCTTCGTTGTCAGGTTTCTTCATTGCATTGAGAAGACTTTCTATACCCTCAACGTATCTGCAAACAAAATTGAACGAGGTTGCACATTTGAATGAAACCACATACATAAAAAAAATACTATTTTCCATGATCGTTTAACACGTTCAAGCCTGGCAATAAGTCACAGCTGATCATTTAGTATCTTTCAAAGTATCCCATATTGCCTTGCTTTCTAATTTCTAGTGATTTTGACTTTTTTGTGTTGTGTTGTATACAATCAGAACGACTCAATCGATACTGCTGCTAACGACTTTGATTGCATTACAAGTCAGCCAAGAATTAAGTAAAAGAACACCGCGGTTTTCTAATGGAAAATGGCTTTTGGCTAAATTAATTGAAATTTTGTACAGAATTTCCTTCAAAATTAAAATGTTGTACTGTTCCAAAAGTGCAAAATTCTGAGTTATATACAAACATGAGGCCGACTAATGTACTGCCAGATGTCGAGAAGCTCTTAGAAGGAATCACATTGAATATATTGAAGTAAATAAGATATTGACAAAATTTCGGATTCATAAAAAAGTATTCTACTGAAACAGCAATTCAAATGGCAGTAGAAGAATGGAGGTGAAATATGGATGAAAAAAGTTTACAGTAACATTGTTCTCAGATTTCAAGAGAGCATTTGAGACTATTGACAGGGAGAAATTGTTCACGAAATTGCATTGCTATGGATTTCAAGGTTCAGTATTCAACTTATTACAAAATTATTTAATCAATAGAAGTCAAAGAACTAAAATTGGCAATACATTATCAAACATTAAAAACATTTCGGTAGGTGTGCCACAGGGTAGCAAATTAGGTCCATTACTATTTATTTTATATATTAACGACATTGCAAAATTCAACTATTTGCTGATGATACATTAATATATATATATATATATATATATATATATATATATATATATCAAACAAAGACATGGAAACTTCAATAGAGCTGTTAAATAATTATATGAAAAACGTAATAAATTGGTTAAATGTAAATAAACTTAAACTAAACACAGACAAAACAAAATATATGCTAATAGGAAAATCTTTAGATCAAAATACGATAAATCTTACAATTAATCATGAAAAAATTGTGTCAATCGAATCATTTAAATATTTGGGCATATACGTAGATAGTAAATTAAAATTTGAATATACTATTTCAAAAATATCCAATAAAATAAATGGCTTTTATAGAGTTTCGCTTAGCCTAAGCGTTTATTCAAAATAAATTGTGTACAATACTATCATTCTTCCTCATTTTTTATATTGTTCGACTATTTTGTTCACTGCAAATGAAACTGTATTTTCAAAATTACAAATATTACAAAATAAAGCTATGAAAATCATCTTGAACAAAAATATACTAGAATAAATTTTATGCTGAAAGAACTACAATGGTTAAGTATCAAAAATTTCATAGCCTACTTGGTTTTCATTTTCATATTCAAGTTAAGAGTTCATCTTCTAACAAATCGCTTAGAAAATTTTATTGTATTGAACAATGAGTGCCACAATTATTCTACTAGAGGAAGTATAGACTTTTATTTACAAAACTGCAGTAGCGATATAACGAGCAAGTCAGTATTTCAAAATGGATTGTACGAATTTAATAAATTAAGTAATGATATCAAGATGTGTGTCAGTTTGAAAATGTTCAAAGGAAAATTGAAAAAATATTTCATGGAAAACCAGAACTCATAGTAGTGAAATTTTGTATAAAAATATGTAGTCTTGAAGACATAATATATTTTGTAATATACTGTGTAATATGGATATTATGGACATTGTAGCATTAATGCTAAATAAATCTGAAACAAACAAACAAATATAGATTTCAAAATGGAGAAATTTGAAAACTTACCCATTCCATGGCAGGTCCAACTCAGCCACGTATTTCGTAAGGCATCCCCTGAGCACGTTCAAGCAGTACCCAGAACAAGGCTTCGCCTCTTTTTTCCACAGTCCTTGGCACTTAGGGCAGTACGTCATCCTAAGAAGAGCATCGTGACACTGTGTGTTACCTTTAGTGTTTTCGTCCATCAGGATCGAGTCCGTTGTGTTTAGTACCTCAGTGCCGATTCTGAACGCTTCTAGGAGCATCCGCGTTGCTTCCAGGCTTTTTGAAAGTGCCTTTGCCACCTGAAAGAAAAGATCGGCGTATATATAAACGTCGTATGCACTTTTTTCAAAACAACGTGTATATTATTACATATCATTTCTCACAGCGTTTAATTTTTAAGCAAGTGCTTGACGTGGCGGCAACAATGTTGAGCCCCAGCGACATCGTATTCGTTATCCAAACGTCGTATTGTGACGAATAGTTCTGTTGGCACAAGCCGCTTGGCGGCGTCTGTGAGGACCGTGTCAGTGGATCGCCTTCTAGATCGACGCGAAGTGACCTCCAATATTTGCTTTGTGGTTCACCCGGCCTTTCTCGAAGCAGCAATTGGGAGTATCTATAACTCGGCGGCCGGGAGATGGAAGCAGAGGGTACAAATTACACCAGAGCATAAGAACATAAGAATTAGTCAGACATAACTAGGGGTGTATATAAATGTTCTAACAAGTTAAATAAACTAGTGCATTTCTTTTTGTGGAATCCAGTGTTTTATTCCACACCAAAAAGAACCAGAAAAACGCTACAGTATGCATAGCAACCGTCATCAACAGCCGCACATAAAAATGCGTTCTTTGCGTATTTAGCGTCCGACTTTTTGAACCTTCAAACGTACTCTAGAATAATTATTCCATAAATTATGTGACAATTCTCGAACTCACTTGCTTCGGGGTATCCCCGAATGGCGAAATAGTATCCATCGATTTCTTCAAACACTCTTTATATGACTGGGTGAAATCCTTATCTGCAATTTGAGCCAAGTGATGGTAGGCCAATGGGAATAGTTCCATGAAGAAACTCATCACGCTGTTGGCTATATACTCTGGATTCGAATGTGATCTGCAAAAGAAATATAAAAACAACTTAAGATTCGTTAAACCGGAACCCACGATTCTTTCTCAAGCGAGAAAGGTCAAATCGCTTTCGAGATCCAGCATGTTCACGATCATTGGAATAGTTTAATGGCTTAATTGTATACAGGGCGTTCCGTGCTTAAATGGACAAGGAATGGTAGGTAGTATGGACCTTTTCATGTCTGAAAGTAAAAAAGATCTAAATTCTGTTTTTAAGGATATACAGGGTGATTTATTTAAACACGCCAAATCTATGATGCCACATATCTTGGGCACTATTGAACCATTTTGTTGAAATTTTACACGATAACAAAGCTACATAGAAGCAACGAATAACTAGACAGGCGGTTTTAAAATTCGGGGCCGGACTTCCTTTTTTCAACTTTTTCGTATTTTTGCCGAAATCAGCACCTTTTAAGCCAAACAATCAAATATTTGATAGTTTTTTTTCAATTTTTTTATTTATTAAAATACCTTATTTTTACCAGATTTTGTGATAAGAAACACGAAATTTTAAACGCTAGCATCTTGATTTCATCATTATTTTACAAAATAATGCTTAAAATTGAACTGAAGATGTTTTTGTAATTCAAAATTCCAGGGCCAAATTCAGATTTTTATTTCTTTTGAGGTTATTGAGCGCAGTTATGCTCTGAGTTTAATATTATTTCGTAGAAAAAAAGAGTAATAAGTGATATAAATAAAATGCGAAATTAATGTTATGCACTCTACTTACTTTTTTCGGTAATTTTTTTATGATTTAATTGTACCCACTGGTATTGTAAGGGTTCTGCTTAAAAGGGAAAACGGTGCTTAATTTACAATTCCACTAAATTGTACCTTCCAGAATTAATTTAAAAATCCACAAATACGTAATCGTCAAGACAGGATCTGATATTTAGTTGTTTCCTGTACCTTGTGTGCATTATGTTACTAAAACTTATGTAGGGTTGTGACGACAGCACTTAAACGTAACAATGCTGAGTCCAGATCTGTACATTTTCGTCATGTCATGTCGGCGGGACTCATGTTATCGTCCAACATCAGTTGGTAGATATGAAATATTGATAAAAAAAAATACTAACATTAACTTTTCCTTTTATTTGTATCATGTATTGCTTGTTTTACTGTGAAATAATGAGAAATTCAGGGTATAACCTAAAGGGCAATGCACCTAATAAGGAAATAATAAATAAATCAAATTGATAACCTTTGAAATTGTGATTTTTTCTATCATACCAATCAAAACAAAAAAGATGCACAATCGATCTGTTTTGCTTATTAATTAACACCATCCATTGCCTTGTTTTGTACATAGAGTTAAACATTTCAATATTTAGCTCTGATATAAAAGAAAAAAGTGGAAAAATAGAGTCCGCCCTATCATTTTTTAGCCATGCGCCTGGTTTTACGTTACTCCTAGTTGACTTTGTTATCGTGCAAGGTTTCAAGTAAATCAGTTTAATAGTCCTTAAGATATGTGATATTAAAGATTTGGCGTAAAAAATGAATTTAGAACTTTTTTATTTTCAAATATGGAATGATCTCGGTCTATACTAAACAACATTTCAGAATGTCCATTCAAGTACGGCACACCCTGTAGGTTATGTAGAAAATGTATTTCGTGAGTTCAGTAAAATTACAATCCATAGATAAAAGCTTGTAAAATCTATATTTCATATACTAATTGTCTTCGCTATTTCTCTCTCGCATATCTGTGACTTTTTTGCCTTGCATTATCTCGCTGTTCCGAAAAAATAGTAGACTTATCCTTTGCTAACCACTAAAACAATTTGTTTCACTTACTGTAATGAGTCTGATGTCGTATTCAGCTGAATATAGTTTCGTATATGCCTGTATAGATCTTCGATGGGCCCTTTCGATAGCACCGCCATACCCCCGTAGACGGTTGAGAAGAGAACTAAAGTCTTGTTTTCTGACTGTCTCGTTAACTCTATTACGTGATCTGTAACAAGAGAAAGACACGTTAATACAATACTCAATACATTAGATGAAATGATGAGCAGTAATCATATAAAATTCTCATACAAACATCATTCGGATGCCGCAGCGACAGTTTTGATATCATTTCAGTCATCGGCATTGCGAAATGTCATATATCTCAGCACTGGGCTTTTACCAGTACAATGACAGTTGTGAGATAATTTTGATTCATGTCATTTACCTTCTTGTTTCATTGAGCACTCAGTCTGTTAACAGAATAGTTACATATAGAACATTGAAAAATGCAAAACGTTGGATGCTAGCCTATTTTTTTCAATGGATACTGAAAAGGGCCAATCGAAACCTTAACCAAAACAAAATTTGACTTTATCTACTTTAATTTTGAATCTAAAACTTCTTAAGGTACTTCCTACGATCTCAGTTTAGTGCTATGAGATAACACACATCTGATTAAAATACCATCAAATTCTTTTTATTGGATATAATGACAATGATATCATAGTAGGAATTTCCCTATTATGTTTAGCTGGGAATTTGCTTTTGAACAAGAATCTGCTCGACTCACGACAACTATTTAGAAAAACTGAGTAGAATTCATATAAGAAAATAAAAATAACAAAACCACCTGTAAATGTAAGAAATTAAAAAATTTCTGCATTTTAATCCTGGTATGCAGAAGCAATTTAAATGTTTGCATTCAGTAAATACTAGTCCATTTTGATGATTAAATTGCAGCGTTATTGTCACATGAAATACGCAACATTTTTCAGTTGGTCCTCGTACATGTTATGTATATTATAATTTCGGATAAAAATTTAGTGGACTTCTATGGAGTTTTATAGATGATGTAAATGGGATATTGCTGTAGTCATATATTCAATATGAATAGAAACTAACGATGAAAGTTAGGAAGGTGTCCTCGATTCTAATCCAGATTACAATTAGTAACAATGATGATATTTAATGATGCTTTGAGATTAGGCAAATACGGTATATTTTCGTTATTTGCTAAGGTGTAATACAAGAAGATTACGTATACCCACACAATTTTCAATTCTTCTTCATACATCAATAGGTGCTTGCAACCCATACTGTTCTCAGTAGGTTCTTCTGTGGAGTAGCTGTAATAGACATAAGGCAGCCCACGAAAAAATGTACCAGGCAAAACTGCCTACAGTATTTCAAAAGAATGATTCCAATCTTCCATTTCTGAGGGATTCCAACTTGCCAGACTGTCGCTATTACATACGACGATCTGAGATGATTCCAATAGAAATATTAATTTGTCAAGCAAATCAAATAATCGGATTGCCGATCCTGTTAGATACGACTGTGAAACATACCTTAATACGGCCCTTTGATCCTGGTTTCAACGCTATCAAAGGAATATTGCTTTGTCCGAACGATTTCAGTATGTCAAATGTAACATTTTCAGAACAGAAATAATTCAATTTTCGAGTGCCACAAATTTATATAGTTCACAAAAATACAAGTTACCGCTCCAATGTTAAACCCATACAAAAATTAATCTAACAATGACCAGGAACACCCAAAACTTAAAAAACTTTGCCAAATATAGACAGCCCAATGATTAGCGCACAGGCAAGACAGACAAACAGCTCGACAGATCAACGGAAATGAGTGACATGGCTTTTTGCGATGTACATGTCGTATAACATTCAAAAACAATATCTTTTCAATTTTTTCGCGATTACAATACTTCCTTGCCAGTGGCGTGGGAAGTGAAAGGAGGCTTGAGGAATCCCACCCATGTTTAAACAAAGAGGTGCACTCCTTCACATGACGAATCAATCCCAATCATACCTTCCACAAATTTTCCTCATCTAACCGCAGATACTCGACGATCATCCCATCTTCTGAAAAAATGTAGTTTTCCCAGTCCTGTCTAACCCCTCCTGTACGTCTGTGTATCGTGATCGGTTTGGGCTGAACATGGATATTGGAGAAATCGATTGAGCTAAGTAACACGACAGGGAGATATCCTGCTAAATTATTACATAGATGTTGCTTTAGTGATAATTAGCTTCCTCGCGCATCTAAGTGATAGGACATTCTCATGTAATTAGTTCTCAGAAACTCAACTGTGACATGATCACCAACTATTAAGCTTGAATTAGGAGTTTCCTGTAGTCGAAAATACGGCTACTTTCACTTGCATATGATAGTATAACTAGTACCTTTCACAAATCTGAAGGAATTATTATAACTTAATTTTTTTCATCCTCCAACTACCATGAAGACCTAAGGCCTAAACACCCATGGGGTACAGAGGGGCTATAGGGGGATACAGGGGAAAGGGGGGACGCCACACGCACTGTAGCGAGGGAACACATGTGCATGCAGCATGCACACATTTTGGCCCCGCCTACGAGATCCGCCGGGTGGTACCTGCACGCTCGACAGTCAGAGACCGTCTACCACCTACGGACAATCACAACATCCATAGCCAAGAGAAAAATTCTCTTGGGACGGAATTCGAACCCGCGCAGCGACTGATTAGGAGACGAACCGCTACTCCACTGCTGCTGCCTGAAATTTAAGGAAGTTATGACATTTTCTGTGTTGGGCGCTCTTGCCAACTGCCCTCGGGCGTCCAGGTTGGGTCGAGACATCACATTACATAAGTTTGGCTTCTGTGCCCCCGGCACTGACGCGGACGGACGACTCCACTTCCCTTATCGCTCAAGATGACCAGTCGCAATATATTGTTAGTATCTTGGCACAGACTGCTGTACGATACTATAGATGTACATTAAATAAAATAGAAGGTTTTCTACAGATCGATTCCACTAATCTTCCAACGGTGGACATAATGATGGTTAATCGTCAAATATACTATGAGAAAAATTCATGTTTTGGTACGCATTCTCACCCTTATAATTAAACCCAAATACCACAGTGGTACAAAAGTTCTAAGATATAGCCAGAAGTACAAAAAAAATCCATTCTTTCTAGGTTTTTCAAATATGTTATCCATTTGTTGAAAATCAAATTGGCGGACACGACATTGTACATTTTTGCAAAAATATTTTGATTGAGCTCAAATTCAAGTTTTAGATGTTTACAGGTCGTTAATAACGAATTTGATATCGATTGTTCGAAAATCGAAATAGCGGTTCTATGACAATATTGTCATTGTACAGATGAAGATCACTGTTCGTCATCTATTTGTCTGGGCGGTCCGTAGTACCTTTGCCCATTAGTCACTGTCTAATGTACTTTAGTCGAATCTGTCAGTCCTGGTTGCCCAGAAACCAGACAATGTCAACGAAAAAGAGAAGAAAAAACGAGAAGGGCAAAGAAAAAAGTGTTTAGTTTACGAGGAAACACCTAGGCGTTTTGACTTTGTACACGGATTAATTTTGAGGTGAACTAAACAAATTTTGATTCAGGTTTTGTTAGAGTGCAATTTTGAGTTTCGCGCTAATTTTTTATTACAGTGCGAGCCGTGACCTTGAATGTTTACGAACTTGCTCCACTGTGTAGTCCACTGAGTCACGCAACAGAGGATTGCTGTGCGATTCCGCTTGACTATAACGTCGCTGCGCCTGAAGCTTGACATACTCCCTCAAGTAAGGAATGTCAAGGTTTCTGTGTAGTGTGTCACTTGAGGCATACTATGGAGCGTTGCAAATTGTTCGAAAAGTTCTGCTTTGCAGTACTCGTACTTGAAGACTTTGCATGTGTGTCTTGGCAAGAAAACACCAAGCCGCACATGCATAAGTAATGGCTGATATAATAATCATTTTATATAGTTGAACTTTGTTTATCAAACTCAATTTGGAGGATCTACATAACAAAGGATATAGTTGCCGAAACGCAATTTGGAATTTTGTTTTCAAGGCTGCTGTATGTTTCTGCCAGGTCATGCCTTTATCAAAGGTGACACCGAGATACTTGGCAGAATTTGTCCATGGTATACAATTGCCGTCTACAGAAATCTCTGCTGGGAGGCCGAGACGTTTTTTGGTACAATGCATGCCTGCATTTTCGAATGATTAATTTTAATCAGCCACCGTTCCGGCCACTCTAGTACTTCGTCCACCACGCTCTGCAACCCATCGTGAACCAGATCACCAGAACACGACTGGGCGACAAGTACAGTGTCGTCAGCATAGAGGTAGACTTCACAGTTGCTGGGGCAAGGGACACCATGGATAAAAGACGAATAAAGGATTGGTCCTACGATCGAGCCCTGAGGAACACCGGCCGTATTGTTGACAAAATATTATAATTTTGATCCGAAACTTGCTTCCTTCAAGGGATTTCAGTAATTTTAGTAGCCAAAAAGGAAAACCCTTTTGGATTAGTTTATAGAAAAGGCCCGCGTGCGACACCTAGACAAAGGCCTTTGACACAGATGAAGATTACCTTTGTGGTTGAACCGTTTATTACAGTAAAGAATATCTGTCAATACACGAGCTTTTATTTTCCAGACAAGACTGGGGGATTCTATTTGAATAACTTGAAATTACTATAGTTAAGCCTTCTCAGCTTTACGAATTCCTGCACATCACGAAATTAGCCCACCTTTTTTTCATAATCAACGGAGTTTTCTTATTTCGATAACTTAAAACGGAGCAGCAAAACGAGGGCTCTAAGAGTTCTCTAATGCTTCTCGCATAGCGTGTTTCTTGAAGATGGGAAAGGTCCATTAGACTACCATACCATCAGACATGTGCATGGATGCATGTATACGCCGAAAAAGTGAACTGCCGATCAAGTTTTCGCCGCCGTTGCCAAATATGGACGCAGTCAGAAGAAAAGAAGCAAAAAAAGGAGAGAGCTGCCTTTTTCGAGCTTGCGAATGCTTATGATAGTGCCCGATCACATGGACAGATTACGTGTGTGTGCCCCAATGCCAATGGCCTGAATTCGATAAAGTGGCTAAAATTGAAGATGCATGTATACAAAAACATTTTTCTGTAGAAGTGCTTTGAATAACCAGTGTCCAGTCCAAACTTCCTGGCCATCTGTTAT